ACTACAAATCGGAAAACACGCCGCCAGGCGCGGGGACACGTGACCAACAACATCAGCCACAACTACAGCAACAACAACAACAACTTCTCTAGAGAAATGTGCGTAAGAGAAATGTCACTTCCGTCGGCTTAACACATTTAAACATGGTCGCTGCTTGGATGAGTGTCACCCTCGACGGACGGACGGACGGACGGACGGGCGGTCTTCCATATAGATGGGCTACTTTCTAATTTATGTGCTGTCAATTCTTTTGTCATTGCGGACGCTGGATGCTGGAAGGAGAGCGATGGGCGGGCGGGGCGTGGCATTCTCATCAAGTACGACGCCTGTTTGCCGGCCACACTTAATGAGACTTAAGAAAAATTATTTGCAATTAATAATTATGCTCATATTGTTTTCGGCCTAGCGGCTAGGCAGCATGCCACACCCACACTCAATTAGAGAGAGTGAGAGAGGCGATTGGGTTGAGTTTGTCCAAGGGAGAGGGAGGATTTCGATTTCGATTTGTATTGAGCTGATGTCGGGCTACTTGTTATTGCAGTTTATTTGATGTTTGTCGCTTAATCACTCTGAAGTAGACTTATTTGTTCTCATTTGAAGTGTGCTGAGAATGGGCATTGATTGTGGAAAATAATATCGGCCATGTCTATTGATTCCTAAGCGGGATGCTGAGAAGGCTAAGAAAAATGTGATTCCTTTCAAATGCAGCAGAGCATTCAAGCCAATTCTATGTCAAGCATATGTATATATATGTATATCTGTATCTTTATACATGTAAATGTGGATGTTTGTAGCATTTCAAGTAGCTTTATTTTAATGACTTTTATTATTTTATATATCTGTATATTTATTTATTTTTTATTATTTTTTAAAAATATTTTTATTATTATTATTTAATAATAATTAAGTATATTTATGATACTATATTTTTTATTATTTATATACGACATTTTTCAACATTTTTATAATAATAAAATATGATAATATTTATTGAATTTTTATATCATATTATATTATTTTCATATTATTATTATAATTATGTGGAGTTTTTGGGGAGAAGAAATACGAGTCAGGTGAACTGTGCATAAAATATAACGATGAGTCAGGTGATTGTAGAGCTTCTATGTCTATAACTAAACAGCTGAAACTAGCCTCATGAAGGAGCTACATGCGTATAAATTATGATAGAATATAAAGACAAATCTGACAAATGATAAAGAAGAGTTTTTTTTTTTTATAACAGAGGCAGCTAAACCAACAGAGAAAGGAAGTTTGAATAGATTTTCTAAACATCATAATCAGAATCTTTTTCATAAATAAATAATTCCTATCCACATTGCACAACTATATAATGTAGCTGTACGAAAAGAATCCAATTTGAAATAAAGTTTACTCAATGTATCATCCATCATAATCAACTCGAAGATACATGCTATGCAAACAATTATGCGATAAAGCTGAAGAGACCTTCTCTTTACAGTTAACTGACATCGGCCTTAATTAGCAATTCGGCACGAGTTAATGACGATGAGGAACAAAAGGAATTCGTCGAATGTTTCCGACTCGCAGGCATTTCAAGAGCTGCTGCAACACAATGTTGACTATGTAGGCTCTCCTGCTGCTGCTCCTACTCCTGCTGCTGCTGCTGCTGGTGCTGCTGCTCCTGCTGCCCTCGTGATAATGTTAAATCAACATTATTTGGCCAGCCATGCATGCGTAATGCGTCTCGAAATTGCAGCCAGAGTGCGTAAAGTGGGTGTGGTCGTGGTCGTAGGCGGCGGGTGGGGGCTGGCAAAGACAATTTTGCGCCTCAGTTTGCAAAGTTTGCATTTAAATTAAACGAAAAAGCCGGCCAAAGCCGTGATAAAACTTTAGCACTAGCCGTTGGCCCAGCACCGGCCACACATTGTCTCGCCTTTTATGCATTTCCCATAAGGACACGAGTCCTGCGAGAGGGAGACGGTGCAGCTATAACAACAATGGCCGAGCACTTGACTTGGGCTGTCATTCAAAGTGACAGGGACTCGGGCTCTAACCACCTGATAGGCCACAAAATGTGCAACGCTGAACGTGTCCTGCGTTCAATCGACACTCGAAAGTCTATTTTCACAAAATTTCCATGTTTATTCAGCCACGCACGAAGCCCCCACTGCATGTGTGTATGAGTGCCTCTGTGTGTGTGTGTGTTTACATAATTGTATATTGTATCTTGTAGTTTGCTTAGCGTCAAGTGCAAGGTAAATACGAGATATTTTACGCAAATTTAAGTGTTTACCCAGCGCTCGCTATAGGGCGGGGCTGTGGTTCGGCTCCACTGGGCAGGGCCGCCTGTGCAATTGGAATTTATTGTAATTTGCATTTTAACGCTCAAATGCGTTTTTTGCGTAATGCACGTGAATTAATCATGGCATTTACAATAGTTGAAGTTGCTGTTGTAGTAGTAGAGTGTGACCAGAGGTGATAGAACGGCCCTGAAGGACGTGAGAAGAAAGAGGAGAGTAGTTAGTATTAGTAGTAGTAGTTAGTATTAATAAACTAAAATTTATATATTCTATGTAATGGAGCCCACAATTTATAGACTAAAAACACTTTTAAATGAATGTAAAAATAAAATAAAATGTAAAATTAATAAAAATAATAATAAATAACTAAAAGAAAATATTTAAAAATAATTCTAAAATATTTAATCATTTAATTGTCTACATTTTTACCTAAAAGGTTATATTATATACATAAATATATAGTTAACTGTTGATGTACTATATATTTCTTTAATCTATAAGTGGGTATATAGATAGATAAAAATAACAATATCTTAAATTAGTATTAAGAAATATATAAATAAACTGCGCGTCATTGTTTACATTCTTTGGGCTATATTCAGAAATGTTTCTTTTTTTTATAATTCAACCGGCTTTTATTCTGCTTAAAAAAAGTAAAAAAGGAACTTTTCAAAATATATTTTATTTAATAATTTTTTTTTTTTTCATGAGCATATATTTTGTAATAGATTCTTATAATAATTTTTTAATAAGTAATAGTAAATAGTAATATTTATTTCATTTCATTTTTTAAATAATTATTTAATTAATATTTAATATTTTTTTCATGAGAAAATATTTTTTAATAGATTATTATAATAATTTTTTAATAAGAAATAGTAAATAGTAATATTTATTTCATTTTATTTTATTAATAATTAATTAATTAATAGTAAAAAAATAAAATTTTCATAAATTGAACATTTAAATATTTAATATATGTATATTAAAATAATAATTATAATGATAATTATATTTTTATATACGTATACTAAAATTGAGGAATATTACAATTCAGTCCAAGAATATATACCATGAATACTTTATTGAAAATTCTATTTGCACTTTAATCAAGTTCTAAATAGTGTATAATGAAGTCGTTCTCTCTGCTCACCTGTCCATACCTGCCTCACACCACGCACAGCTCGCCATTTGAATAGCTCACGTATTTATTTAATTTGCTTAGTTTATTCAGGCAAAGTGTTTGTAATTAAATGCGAGGAATGCGAACTGCATTGTTGACAACACAACACAAAGAAGTTGGCTGCAAATTGTCTCTAGAGTGAAACTTAAAGCTGGATGCATATGCTTGGAGAGATAAAGGATTTTAATTAAATTCATATACGGCGTGGTATATTGGCTGCGGCCGGGCCGGAGCTGTCCTGGCTTTGTCTCAATTTGCACGCAAATTGACCAAAGCATTTCAAAAATAAAATAAAAATACATATATAAATAAATTAATATATCAATATACAAAGTGTATTGAATGGATTTTCAATCAAATTGAACAGAGTGAGAGTGAAAGAGAGAGGGAGATCGAGAGAGAGAGTCAACCGCCCGCTGCGTCCTGCCAGACGCACATAAAATTGACATGTTTCGAGGCGCCGAACAGATTCTATATAATTTCGCATGTAAAAAGAAAATTCTCAAACGAAAATCAGTTAAAACGTGTATTGCATAATGGGCGTGGCATGTGAGGAGGCGGCTGCTGCTGCTGCCTTTTCAATGAACTCACGGCGCGACGAATTGTTGCTGCTGCTGTTATTGTTGTTGCTGTTGTCGCATGCAACAAATTGTTTCAATTAACTAAATTAAATTTACACTCCTGCAGCTTCGCAAGCGAACAACAATTGCACATATTGAATGCATTTTGCTGAACGTGACATGACACTGACAGATAGAAAATGAAACGAAGAACCAGCAGCAACAGCAGCGGCAGCAACAGCAGCAGTACAAAAAGTTACGCCCCCGCCTCCTGGCTGCCGCCCCTACTGATTGCCAGTTGACGAAAATGAAATCCGAGATACTCGGGAGGCAAATGAAAATGGCAAACATGTTGCATGCGGAAAATGCTACGGAAAACACATCCATGACATGGAAATTTATAAAAATTAACTGCCAAGTATACGGCGAGTGCAGTTTATAAGGGATGGCCAATGATGAGGCTGTGCACTGAGAGAAACAATTCATTTTATATACTGTAAACAGAGATTTAAATATGAAAAATAAAATTCATACATCAGTTATATATTTTCTTTAAATATTAATTTTTAAAATATTTTTAATTAATTTTCTTTATAACATAGTTTAAAATACATATTTATAAACAATAACAAATTTATACCGGACATGCCTAGATATATGGACTTTGGAATCAGTCAAAACTCGCGCATATTTGCATTTTCTATGTAATATAATATTTAATTATTTATTTTATTATGATTAATTATATATTTAAATATTTTAATTATATGTTTATTCAATTCAATATTTAAATATGTTGTCTTACATGAGAATACCGTGATTATTGAGCAGAATTTTGAATATTTGCAAGACGAGGTTTACAAAAATTAAAGTAAATCATAAATTAAATATGTAATGTATAAATTATTTAAATGTAGCATAATACATATTTAATATCTAATGTATTATTTAATTAAATACATAAATACATACATATACTTATAAATATCTTCATGCAAGCTTAGCTTTCTCCCAGTGCACTTGAAACATTGTAGCGACACGGCAACATTGTTCGTCAATATTAATTATGCGTTCAAATGAATATTGAAGTGTAGCCGCATGCCAGCCCAACTCAATGTCCGCCCACTCACAGCAACAACAACAGCAACAGCAACAACAGGCTTTCAGCCGAGAACAACACCACAAAAGCCACCGCTGGCCATCAACCAGGCAAACCCACCAGGCGACCCACCCACCCACACACACACACACTCAGGCCAGGCTCGGTTGTTGAGGATAGCTCATCAGCAGGCGCTGGCGAAAAATTGGCAATTGTACAAAAGTGTTAACACGGCGCCGCATCCTGCAGACTGACCACAGAACAGCCCGGCAGCCAGTCGGCCCGCTAGCCACGCAGCCGCCTTGGACACATCCATCAATGCCAACAGATTTAATCGCCATTTAAATTGTACGAACTCGAACTGGGAGCTGGGTGACGTCCACGACGACGGAGTGTGTGCGCTGCATTTACTTAAGCGTGTTATCAGCGTAAAATAAATCTCTATAGAATGGTCAGACAGCTGCTGTCTGGCCGCCCGCTCGACTAGCCTATCTGTTTAGTGTTTTCCAATCAGTGGCCCCGGGGCAAGCAGATTGGTCACGTGTCGGCGTCCTGGTCAATGGTCAGCAGTGAGTGTGACATGCGTCACATAATTGCAATAAATTAGAATTTGTTGAAGGCCTGCAACAATGTTGAATTGTATTGTTTGCTTAAATTCGCTGCCCGACTTAATTTACCTGGCTCGCATTATATGGATACAGTTACTCTTCGCTAGTTAAAGGCGACCATGGGATTTACTTCGAAATTAATGTAGCATCTCGAACGGAAGCGCAAACAATTAAGATGTAGCAAGATCTGCAGTATAAATACATAAATTAATACAATGCAAAGCAAGCGACGAAAGGAAGTTATAATAATCAAATTTTACGATTTTCCTGCAAGTGCACGCGGCTGGAAATTATGCGTATTGCAAGACAATGCGTAGAACTCTCTCTCTCTCTCTCTCTCTTTCGGCTTCAATACCATTCCAATTTGAGTTCCACGTTGCCACGCCTTTGTGCCCAACAAGGAAACAGGGCGCGGCAATAACAGTAAAAACCAATTGCCAATCATTAGTTTTTATAACACAAGACATTTTTCGTTGACTTTCGATCTGTGGGCCTTTTCTCCTTTTTTTTTTTTTGCGTATTCCGGAATGAAAATTCATTTTCACTTGTCCCAGTCGAACATAAAAGCGTAGCGCAAGTCAATCACAAGCTCTGAAATTTGGTCAAAACGGAAATGTGGCGCAGTCGCAACGTAATTGTGGGTGGACACTGCTTCAAATTGGATGTCGAAAAGCCGTGTTGCCCTAGGAGTTACGACTGTCTACGAGGACGATAGATACAACAATTTGGCTATTGCGTCACAAGTATTTAAGTTTTGCTTTGACTTTAATGTTATCAAATTGGAGCAATTGTAATTGCGATGGCACTTACATACAATAGTATCGATGGCAGCTTGAGTCCTTTATTGGAAAGGTTAAATGACAGCGATTACTCGTGAAGTGCTCGTGATTTAAATTGCAATCGTCTGTATCGATATTTAGATTCGTATTGGAAGTCGCCTTTCACGACTTGCAGTATCTTACTAGCTCTATCGATACTTATTGTCACTTTTACACGTGAGCGATCATGTCAAAATATTTATGTAAATAACCAAAAATCGAACAAAATTTAATGAAAATGGATATTTGCCGTGCTTGTATGAGCGAGTCTCATACCTTGGTGGATATATTTTGCGATCGGCCATTGGCTGATTATGAATTCAGTGTGGCGGAGATGCTCAACGAGCTGGTGGATTTTAAGATCGCTCGTGACGATAAGCTGCCTCAGAAGATTTGCGTCTCCTGTGGTTTAAATGCTCAAATCGCGTTTCGATTCAAGCGCAGACTACAGCAGAGCCATCAGTTGCTCTGCATGAAAGTAAGCGTGGAATATCCGGATGGTGTCACTGTGGCGGACACAGATACGGATGACGAAGTGAAGGACAATGAATCTGAATCTAAATGGAATTTGAAACAAAGCAAGCCATATAAAAGAAAAATGACCAGCTGCGAGAGGTTGATCATGGAAAACTTAGTCAATGAGTGCGATCGACCGGATTCCACTACGTTGGATATTGCTGACGCTGATTCAGGAACAACTCATCGATATCCCCTGCGCCGATGCACACGGATGTCAAACCTCAGCTATTGCGAGAATATTACCAATCCCATCACACTGCGCAGTAGGCTGCGTATGTTCAAGTGCGAGCAGTGCTCGACATCGTTTACTACAATTGATAACCTCATGAAACACCAAAAGTCTCATGTCGGAGAGCACCACTACAAATGTTTACATTGCCCGAAAGCCTATCGCAAGCAGTCAAAGCTGCAGAAACACATCAAGTGCCATAGCAACGAACATCGTCACCTGTGTGGCCAGTGCTCCAGAGCTTTCAAGTGCAAGGCGGATCTGGACACACACACTCTGGTCCACAGCGAGGAGCGTCCTCACATCTGTCCCTACTGCCAATTCACCTTCAAGACGTACTCTCACCTCAGTAGGCATGTACGCAATCATACGGGTCAACGCTCGTTCCAGTGCGAGGATTGCAACAAAACCTTCACCACCAAATGGAACTTGAAATGTCACATCAATACTCCCAATAGGTGTTCAGCCAGAAGGGGAAGCGATTATAATTTAAACATGCAGAATAAGTCGACTTGAAAAGCCTAGAATAATTATTACACTACTTGTTAAAGAAAGCAATTCAAGCTTAAGGCAAATGAAAGAATTGATTTACATTATTTTTGTTAATATTAACAAGGAGAGTCTATATATCTATTATCTAGTGAGTCATAACTCAGTCAAACTATTGATTGGGAATTATTGTTTTAAAAACGTTTTAAGTTTTCATTGTTGACTTTTTATAAGAAAAGAACATAAACTTAATTTTTGTTATCTTTGCAGAACAAATATGACTTTAACATTATAAATTAATAATAGAGCAAAATATGAATATGGACAATATTATCAAACATATTTACTTTAGATCAAGTTTCAGAAACACTATCTATCATTGTTTAATAATGTATTAAGTTTTAAATAGCAAATTGTTTGTTAAGTTTTGACAATTCTAACATTTAGTAAAAGTTCCCGGCAAAATATGATAAACAAGTTATCGAAATGGAAAAGCTGAGCTTGAAGCTCAAACTAATATTTACTTTGTTACAAAGATTTTATGCTTTAAAACTAAAAATATTCACAAAGAACAGAAACAAATTATCCAATAACTCTTACAGACTTCATATATTTTTTTTCTTTCAAAAAAGACCTATGGGAAATGAAATAATTAATTATGGCCTCTAAAGCCTTTTAGTAAAACATGTTAAATATAATTAAAACAAGTAAAATTTCAATAAATGTTTAGAGCAAATGTATGAAACTTTATATCTTAATTAGAATTGTCACTAAAATAAATATAATAAAGGATCTATAAACGATAATAGTTAAAGTTAAACTGTATGTGTGTATCCCATGCAAAATATACTGATATAGATCCGTTTATAATATAACTGATCCCTGTCCAGCCTATCCTTAACGAAAACTTCTAATAACCAAGCAAAACCACATTAAGTTACCAAAAACGATTTGATTATCGAAACATTCATCGACATCTGAATGCCAATCAATCAAATTCGTGGCGTATACAAACGAGATTTGCGGAGCCAAGGCCAGATATATATTCGTCATGCCAGGCTGGTTCTGCCTTGCACCCTTTGCCTGCTCGGGTGTCACACACTCACATGTCAATTTGTGGATTGGGGGGGCCTTGGGCGAGGAAGACAACTTTCTTCTTGACAGGCCCATGCGCCCAATGGCAATGAGCTGCAACGCCCAATGTGTTAAACCTATCCATTAATATTAATAGTCTATTGCCGGTTGGCGGTGCGTGTTGTACGTGACTTTTTCGTAACCCTTTCCAAAAACTTATCCCCATACGTTTGTATATCTATGTCTTTGGCAAGCTTCGGAGTCGCTGCTAACCTTATCGTTTGATTTGTAGACATTTTATTGCTTTATTGATGCATTCTTATGAAAAGCGCAGCGTTTTCTTTGATGGATTGTTTAAGTCTTCGGGTCGACCCGGAGCTCGGTCGTACCTGAGGCCTCGACCCTGGGGAAAATCCGTCAGCAATTTTATGCTGGTAGACCACCGCACACGCAATTTGCCTTGGGAAACTTTTTCCTTTTGTCAAAATTCTTATTTTGATTGGCACTTAGCAGATCCGAAAAGGGGTGAGAATACAAAACGAGATGTTGGTTATGGGAAAGTCTAATCAGCGTAGCGGTAAACTCCTCAAGACACGCAATGCACGCGTAGGCTTTAAAGAACATTTTAGCAGAGTGCTTCAGCTGGACGATACCCTGTAATGTGGGTCGAGTTATTAGAGATGAGTGGAACGATTGAACTTAGAAGTCTGCTTCTCAGAAACTGTGATAAACTGGACCTAGATCTGTGAGAATAGGAGATGTGTTTATTATCGACAGAGGGATATTCTAAGCTAAATCGACTTGCCTAAGACAAACCTCGGTACACACTTGAACGACGAGAAGTATTTTCAAAAAGAGAATACCCTATTCCATTCTTTAAAGTATGTATACCCAAGAAAAAAGTCTGATAAATTATGAAATTTACAATTTATTGAATTATGTAAATAGAGTATTGTTAAAAAAGAAAAGGAGAAAAAATAACAACTTCGAACAGTAGTTAAATTTTATGTTATTCTTTTCTAAAGTATCTCAAGTATCCCAAGGACCCAGGACAAATTATGCATAGCAAAGTCCAGGGCGTAAACTCCACAGCGCTCTCTAAGCCACTAATAAATTACTAATACTCACCTCCTCGGCAAAGTTTTGCGCAAAAATATTAAATTTTACGAGCTTAATTTGTGTGTGTTCGTGCCGGGCTTAAGGACGGCTGTTGTCCTGGACAACAGGAGCTACGAAAACAATGTCAATTACAGCCCGATTGAAAAGTGGGCTGGCAAAAAGTTGTTGTTGTTGTTGTTGTTGTTGCTGTGTTGTACTGGCAGATCGCATAAACCAATTTTATTGGTGGAGCAACCGAAAAAGCCGACAACGTGGAGTACGACGGCGCTGACGATGCCATTGAACTAATCTCCTTAGCATTAGATGGCGAGCTCCTTGTCTCTATGCCCAACCTGAGGGTCTATTCATATTTCAAAAGGCAACTTTGCGCGACTCGAAAATGGCGTCATTAAACTTTACGATTCTCTGCCTCTCTCTGTGTGGGTGTGTGTGTGTTGTGTTGGTGTTTCTGTGTGTGTGTGTGCGAGCCGTAAAGCATGCTCAGCTATTTTGTAATAAAGGGTATTTGGAGAGCATGCACTTTGAAATGCCCGTTATTGTTTGAATACCCTGTAAAAGTGAATGAAATAGAGAGTTTAGTGTTTCAAGTTTAGAAACAGGCGAAGCAAGCCTTATATGTAAGGGGGCTATGCATAGAACAAGTATTTTTTTGACCATTTGAGTGAGTGTAAAGCCAAATTGACTTTTATGTGAACTATTATATTTATTATATATATTTGAATTAGATATATACATATATAATTATTTATTATATTTGAAATTCTGCCTACTTCCGCCCTCTATCTATCTATTCATAAGATTGCTATTCCGTATGTCCGGCTCTTCGTCTGTTCCTATCTCTTTCACACTTCGCTCAAGCTTATTTTATAATCGCACGACTGGGAAAATTCGATCAATTTATGAGCATACCTAAACATGCTCCACTTCTTTGAGGATATTCCAAAAGTTTATAGAGTTAAATTGATCTAAAGTAGAAGCAATGAGTAACCCACTTTAATAAGACTTCCCTTGATAAATCTACATAGATAAATCTACATAGCCCTAAGGCAGTTGCGCACAGTAGGGTATCTCGTTAGTCAGTCAAAGACTTTGATATGCTATGCTCTTTAGAGGCCCAGACAAGTGCATCGTAGATCTATAGATCTTGTGTGTGTGCGTCTGTGTGCGGCTGTCGCTGTCGGTGCTAAAATCAACAAAAGTCAAGCCAAAAGATAAAGCGCGCATTTCGGGGGCTGCCGAAAACTTTGCATATTAAATGTCATTTGGTAAAGTGGAATTACGGACGCCCAGGCAAATGCTGTCACAGCAAATTATGCTCGAAATGCGTCTGTCAAGGATGCGGATGCGGATGCGGATGCGGATGCGTGTAGGTTGCATGCATTGAGCCATAAATGAAAACTAAACAAGATTTTGCTGCAAATTTTATGAGCTAATTTTAATGAAGTTGCACAAGAACCAGAACGAGAACCTGAAGAAGAAGCAGAAGAGCTGCAAATTTTTGATGAATGTCGACACGAAACAGACAAGCTTATAAATTATGCCACAGCAGTTAAGAGGGTGCATGAAATACGAGATAGATGTGTGTGTATCTATGAGAGACAGACAGTCAAGTTTTTTGATTACGAATTCTCTAATTATAGCAAGTAAGAGTGCAATGGTCGGGAGTGCTCGACTAGCAGAAACCCTGAGCCTTGTGCTACAGAATACTTTAATACAGACATATACAAGGGAATTTATAATGTATATAGTGCTCCTTCTCGATTCTTGTCGATAATAAACAGATGTAATAGGGTTTTCGAATAAATATATTTACTTTTATATGGCGTAGGTTTTATACACATGTACGTTTGGAATTTGATGTCTCTAGCTTTCGTAGTTTACGAGATCGCTTAGTTCATATTCATGGCCAAAGAGATGGACCAAGTTATATAGAATATAGAAAACTTGACGGCAATTTTCTATCTGCCCACATAAAAACTATATACCTTCGATAAGAATTTCTTCCGACTTCCAGGGTATAGACAAATTTTTACTTTCATTATGAATACGATTGATTTCACAGGACTCCGACCTTTGTCACGGTTGTTAGGACCACACAGCTTATAGTAACCAATTAGAGGCATCATTAGCGGTCGGTTTTCTATTTTTTGGTTGAATCAAATGTTCTAGATTTCATGCTCCATTAAAAGATCAAGTACAAATTCAATAGCTATTGAGAATCAGTTGGAGTCTAATTAAATTCGAAATCAAAAGAAACTTCACATGGAGCTCTCTACCCAAGTAGCACGATGAGCTGCCTACGCAGCCAAATGATGTGCCTAGGGACTGCCTGAATAGAATAGAGCTCTAGCAATTGCTTGGGCTGCTTAGAAGCGTGACGAAATCCATTTGATGTTGAGCCGTGGCGAGAGAGTGTCAAATCAACATCATTATTCATTATCAAATAAATTACGAGATCTGTGGCGAGCCGAGCCGTGCCGAGGTCTTCGCTTAGATATTCCTATAATCGTATTTCATTAAATTGAACTTCTCGTTGTTTGAGAAGGGGTTCATATAATATGTTTTAACAAAGCAATCAATATCGCAGCCATAATTAAATAAAACTAATGATGCCACTGACAGAGTGCAATGGGGCCTAATGATCGAAGCCTGCTTGTGAGCAGCTAAGGTTATGCTTTCTTATCACATTGGGCATTAGAAGATCTTTAGCAGTCAAATCATGAAAGTAGCTTTCATTAACTAAATTATTAGATTGGTTGAAAGAATCGGAATGATCTGTATGATAGAAAAATGAGATTATATCGAGAGTGAGGTTATATGTCAAGTTATAAACTTGATGAGATTTGTTAGAAATTGAGGTTATGGCTGATTTACAAATAGAAAGCGAGGGTGTATATATGGCTTATCTGAGGAATAAATATATGATAATATGATATGATAAACGTGATATATTTAATTTTAGCTAAATATATATGATTACTTTAATAACTAATCAGTCAGATTATATTCAGACATATGTTGTTAGAAATAATCATTAATTAATTAAGGTTATATATTCTAAATACCTAACAAGTGCAGATATAGAGCTAAACCTGAAATACAATTTCGTACAATAAGTAAGGTTATGTCTGATACTCCTTGACTTTAAAACGTGCAAGTAAAATTTACCAACACACATACACACACACACAACATACACACCCACACTTACACCGACTCATTCCCCTGGTTTCGGACAGGTTTTTATGTAGCGTAACTAAACGTTAATTTATAGCCAAAAACTGCTCAACTTTCTCTCTCTTTAGGCCTTCTGCTTGAGTCCGCCCAGTTTGGGAATTAAAAACAAATTAACACGCTACCAAAAAAATAGAAATAGAAGAAAAATTGTTGTAGAGAATTGGAGGAGTTTCTTGGTGGGTGCGTCGCTCGCTTTGCGTGTGTAGCCAAGTGAATTTTACAACTCCGTCGTCTTTTATCTAATTGAGTTTATACATTTCTGTTGGGCTTCGCATCGGCTGGTTTGTCTTATTGTTAATGCGCTCGTAAAACATGCGCAAAAATTGAAAGCAATAAAACGCCGTCGGGCAAACATTGAAAATTAAAATAAACACATTAAACGAGATGCCTTCCAGGCGATAACAAGTGTAGGCGGCCGAAATACACACATGCCACCCCCACTCCCACGTAAAGCGACACAATAAATCAAACGAAGCGTAAAGCGTATTTTATACTCGGTTTATAATTTACATGCCATATTACATATGCACAGGTCCTGTAGCTAAAAACAAATTTTAATGGCTTCTCGCGAGTAAATTGCATTCGAAAGTTTTAAGCTTTAATTAAACCTATCTATCGATGTCAGCTATGCGATATAAAGTATCGCTGAATCAATTTTTGACATTCACAACAAGCTTTCGTTAAGTTTGTTCACTTCTCAAATTTTTATTTAACAGAAACAAAAATCTTTATATGATAATAAATCCTCAGCTCTAATCATATTTTGAATAAGCTTTCCCATTCAAACTACACGATAGTTTTGGTAAATATATACATATATCGATAAGCTTGATCGCTGTCGATTCGACATTCGCATATATGCGGAAACTTTCTGACATTCCCTACAAAACGGCGACACGCGTCACAAAGTCTTATTGCGCATTATAAAATTAAAGTGAAAAATGCAAAGTTGCTTTTGTGAAATGTGCTTAAAGGAAGTGAATGTGTACATTAATATAAAACGCATATTACGCAATCATTTGCTATGCCCATCCAAGCCAATGCACGTGAGTCTTTATGCATTTGTACTCTGCCATCCAAACATACCAAACGCTTGACATTAAGAAAACAAACAGAACTACTCGAGCGTCAAGAGAAATATGTCATTACGAGAATTATGAAATAGCAGGGAAAAACACTTAGCAGTAAATGAAAAATTATACGTATGTTGACAACAGGACACGCCGCTAAACAAACACACACACACAGGCACACATATTGCGAGAAGGCCATAAATTAGCCCGCATGCAGGCATCAGGTGGGTACGCAATGATTGCAGGACAGCAGACAGATGGGCGCTTGAGGCAGCGAGTGGGTGGGAGCAGAGGGGCGTTGTCGTCCCCCATAGACAAGTAGTTTCCGTCCGGGTAGGTGGTAAAAAATGCGTACAGCGGTAGTTGCTGTCAAGTCATAAAACAAAGTGCTGTTGTGTGTCTACAAATGATTTGGCTTATTCGTGCAGAACAAATCGTACGTCATTTGTTGGGCCACTAAAAAGTTAAAGTTGGCCCTCTGGCTTTAGCTCCAGCTCCAGCTCCTGCTCCTGCTCCGGCCACTGCCCCTCCCATTGCTCAGCCTGTGCACATTTCTATCTGTGAACAATTGCGCAATTAATGTTCGAGAATTATGTGCGTGACAGCCACACACAGAGAGGCAGACAGACAGACAAGACGTCGTCGCCGGCGTCACTGATAGAGCCATAAAAGGTTGCCTTCAATATCGAATGCACTGGGCTTTTCGTGCCACATTTTACGGCTTTACACATGAGCCATATTGCTGCTGTTGTGCCCTCCTCCTCCTCCTGATAGTTTATGATCCGTGCAGACAGCGCCTAAGTCGCCGCTTTCCGCCCAATTCTCGCATGTGGCAATCGTCATTGGCATCGCTTTGCCAAAATGAAATCATAAATTTATAATTAATTTGCATATGCATGCATTTCTTCGCTCCATACGCACATCTATTGCCATGCCAAATTGGCATCATGGCTCAATTTTAATGGGCTTTTGGGGCTCGACATGTAGAAATTGAAATTAATTTACGAGCGCTCAAAACTAATGAGTTCCCCTTTTTATACCCTGGAATGTATTGAAAACGGGAGTGTTAAGTTTAGCTAAATATAATTATGACATGTATTTAATCAAGAATAGATTTAATCTATCTATCCGACTGTTGATCTGAGTTATAAAATGTTTAATTTGATTTTTTTATTTTAAAAATAATTATACTAATTCTTTATGGGTATCTGCTAGTCGTATATCCCTTTCTAAGCCACTCTTACTGGTTATCTCTAATATCATTAAAATTGTTGGCCTCAATTTCAAGCATTTATGTGCATTTCATAGGGATTTTAATTATGCACAAAAATAGTTCTATTAATGCCTTAAAAGGCAGTAAAACCTATATGTTTTCGGTATGTATATCATTTAATTATGCTATATAGTATTACCCATACTAACTTCAATAATTTCGTTGATGCAGAGATGCAGAGTTATCGGAGATATGAGGCGGATTTGACAGTTGTCAAAAGTCGGCAACAAAACACGTCAAGTGCAGCTCCAGAGCTGAGAGCACTTTTATTGTTGTTCATTAATTTTAATGTTTGCGCAACCTGCGTGCAGTGTCGAAGCCGAATTGAATTGAATTTGAAGTGGGCAACGGCGAGAGCTCGGGAACATCAGCTAAACAGCTACTAAAATGCTACGTCTGGGCCGCACGATAAAGCCAGAAGCCAATGAAGCTAAGTGCGGTTATGAACCCTTTTCGCATTTGGCTAAAACAACAAAGGGCCAAAACCAAATGGGTGGCAAATGGAATCGGAGCTGCGCAAGGCGCTGACAATGGAAGCTGGCTGGATGGCTGGATGGGTGTTTGCCTGGCATTTGCGTATAGAGCTGAAGCTGAACAGCTTTAAGACTTTAAGCGCTAGTTCAATAAACCCGCCGGCCGAAACAAAACAATGGACATGCATTTGCTCGAATTGATGTGCCGCACACATGCAACAAAAGCAACTGTCGCAATTAAAATGCAACGTTTATTTATTTGATTATTAGCATTAACGCTAAATAACGACAATTGTCGCTACAAATGCAACTGGCCACCCTCGAACGAGCGAGCGATGCTGCTGCCCGCATGTCGTTCCAGCAAATGTCATCAATACAGATCCCTAGCCCTAACCTCCCCGGTACAGTTGTGCCACCTGAATCAGCAGGCCTCAATAGCGCAATGTCTTGTCAGCGAGTACCTGTATCAATGTCAGCCCAGCAGCCCAACATATGTGCGTGTGCATTAGCAGGGGGAGCACGAGGAGGAGGAGAAGGAGGAGCTGGGGCGTTAAACTAATGTACGTTCGTCCATCTGTATGTCTAACTGTCTGGCTGCCCGTCCGTCTGTCCGGCGCGCAGCCATGTAATTTGTTATCCAACAATTTATAATTGCATCAAAATATACACGCACCACATGCCAGCCCTCAGCCTGGGCCTGGGTCTGGGTCTGGACTAAGCTAGCTGAGATGCCGCTCACTATTTGAAAAAAAAAAAAACAAATGTATTATGAAAGCAAACATACATGCTTCTGCTCGACACTCCACGCTCGACTCTCGCCCCTCGACTCTTGTGGCTGCCCCCTCTCTATCTTCCTCTCTCTCTCTCTCTCTTTGGAACTGTCCGATACAATTTGATGCTATGTTTAACATTTTGTACACTTTTCGGTTGTGGTTGCGCCGCCCTTGTTATTCCTGCTGGTTCTAATTTAATTTTGGACTTGACTTGCGTCGCTGTTGCTTGCGCTTCACTTTTAGTTGATTTATGAATTTTGAAATCAATTTGACAACTAACTCGAAAGCCGAAAAGTGCACATTAGTTATGCTAGTTGCTATATTTGACTGGACGTGAAAGTTCTTAGATTTTCAATAGTTGTAAATTGCTTAAAATTATATTATTGGAGAGGAGCTCTCGAGTTTGGCCAAGATTACCAGAAAATTGTATTTAAAAATGTTGCTAATATTTTAAATTGTTTAAATATTGAGTTCTTGAGTTTTCTCATGCATTTGCAACTTAGCTAAAATTGGGAATTAAAAAAAAAATTATGTTAACATTTTTAAAATTATATAATTGTAGCGTAGCTCACAAGTTTTCCCAGTAAATTGTAGTTAAAAATTTGCTGAAATTGCAACTGTTTCGGTGCGTTATGCTCTTTGACGTTTACACGTTTTGACAGGCATTTAAAATCTATTTAAAATGCAACCCCTAACTGTAAATTTTGATTATAAAAGAAATCCATCCACCCGCCATCAAAACAAACACAAAGCGCAATTCACTTAACTCCGGAACTTAGGCGCTACTTAAAAAATGCTCAAATCAAATCGAGATGTAAGCAGCAAATAATTTCAAGGCGTGACGAAACATGTTGAAATGCACAGCTCGGTAACCGCCTCTGATCGACAGCAACTTGTGCGGAAACCAGCGGCCGGGACGCGTGCAGCACACTCGGCTCGCATCTCTCTCTGGTTCTCCGGCTGGTCTGGTACACGTTTTTCTACTCGCTGCGCTGGTAGCGCTCCGCTCTGGTTTTTTCTCATTTCGTCTTTTTTGACAACTCAACTGACGCATTACCCAATGGGGGAGGTGGCCTGCTGTGGGTGTGGGTGTGGGTGCGCGTTGCGCCTTTGGCTATGCCTGCCACAACTAGCACAAATGCGGCGACTCACACGGCGACATCATCAATCTAAAAAATGTTGAAAAATCTCAGTGGCTGTGCAGGAGGAGGTGGAGAAGGAGGAGGTGGAGGGGACACGGGTCTCTGGTATTTGGTATTTTTAAAATGCATGTTAAATGTCCATGCCTTTCGCTTTTCAACTGGATATTTGATGGAGTGGCGGCGCTACGAAAGCATTTCATGGGAAAGTGTTATAATTCAAATGATTCGTTCAGTCATTGTAATTGATTTTGATAATCCGAGTGAAGGGTATGTTGTGGATTAGATATAATTTTACTTTATCGCTGGCGTGTTGACCTGAAAACTCGAGACGGATAATTAATAGGAGATTAAAACTCGTTGTCTCTGTGATTAATGTGTTTCTCATGACCTCGAACAAGCGGAAAATATTATTAACGTAGCTTATGAGAATCGCAAAGAAGGGCAGAGGGAGATCACGCAAGCAAAGGGTAAGCAATCATTATTTCTCACTGTATATAGCTTTAATACAATCTTTATTCGTGTAGCTTAGCAATGGAGCAGGGAACTATATAACCAGGATATGCATTCCAATTAATTAATTAATAAGTATAAATAATATTTCTCCTGCTTGACATTCCTTTAATAAAATATTCATACTTTTAGATGATCAATGGAACAAGCTGGACTGTATATAGAAGCTATATCCCCCACTCAATGATTCGCCCAGCAAAACTAATTACAAAGCTGAACCACAAAGCAAGAATTTGCCCAAAATGATTTTGGCACAACCGAAAAGCTGAAACCAGCAGCCGCAATCAACAGCGCAGGAGTAAACGCTGCATAAAAAGCAGGCAGCAACTACAACAACAACTGGTGGAAACCAACAAAACCACTCGACATGTCAACTGAAATAGAAATGGAGACGCCAGCGCACGGATCCGTAGACAAGGTCTAACTTTTTGGCTCTGGCTGCTGCTAGTGCTGCTGCTGCTGCTGCTGGCTGGAGTGACATGAAAAGGACATGTCACACCGTATGCGCACATTAAGTGTAGCCACAATTTATCAAGCCGCATAAATCTAAATAGAGTCTGGGAGAGTTGGCAGTCGCTTGCATGGGCGCATCAAAAAGTCAAAAAGCTAATTTGCATTTAAAAGGACAGCCACAAGAGCAGCAACGGAGCGGACCAACAATGATGCTGACGTAGCCGCCATCGCAGCCATCACAGCCATCGCCTGGCCATGCATGCAAAATATTTTAAGCAATATTTTCAATTTAATAAGCCAAGATAAATGAAGGGCAGAACCACTCCACAGGCGGCAAACGAGCCAAAATTTATATATATAAATATATATATTTTGCTATGTAGATTTGAGCACACTCAGAGAGTGAGTTGGCATATGTGTGGCCCGTGTCCATGTGCTTATTTGCATAGTTTGGTGTGCTTTGGCAATTTTTGTCAATATGCCATGCACTTCATCAAACTAGACGACTCTGGGGCTTCACTGCTCTGCTGTGCTGCGTCGATAAGACGTCTTTTGTGTGCCAACTCTTTGGTGGCTTACAGCTGAAATGAGATAAGTTAAATGACTTTGCATATTTAGTCACAATTCATGGGACACACTTTAAAATTGAATTTGGCTCTGATGCATAAATAAGCCGGCCGAGAATTCATAACATTATATTTTACAATTTATCAAGTAATTCGATTTGAGAGAGCAGAAATCGCTTGAATTGTTGCCTGATGCCGTATAGATAGCCAGCTCTGGCAAATTAGCCTGTAATCAAATAAGTTAACGAGCAGTAAACAACTGACAATTGATGCATATAATTGCACTTGCTGACAAAATTCAACAATTGGCAAAATTTTGCAAACCTAATTACGTTACGACGTCGAACAGTTGTATCAATGCCCTTCGCTTCCATTGTCGAATGACAATCTCAGAGTCGCCGGAGTCATCCAGTGCGAGTGTGAGCTTGAGGGCCAAGCTTGCGGTCGCAACTGAAATGCAATGGGGCGTGCCACGAATGGGTAGCCAATAGAGCAGAAAGCACAACTCAAGTGGCCACAGGACAGGACACAGTCCATAAGAAAATCGCTGAGGCGTAAAGTCATTTCGTAGGCGTCGACCAAGACAGGACACACAAACACACACGCACACATTTATACACATTAGTTGTAGAGGTCCTTGCAGTGTACGACGGCGGCAGGCAATTTGATTTTTCAATCGCTGCTAATTAGCATTGAGTACGAATGCCATTGACAATTTGTCAACCATGGCCAATATTATCGTTTCGCTGTACAGTTTGCGTAATAACTGTGATAATCACAGCGATGACAACGATAATTTGCACACTCTCGTGTGTAGTTACTGCAATTTGGTGTGCAAATTATTCATGAATCGTGAGTTCGGCCAACACGTGGCTTTAAAGGCTTTAAGACAACCCTTTCGGCCAACTTGGCAGTCGTCTGGAAGCCTATTAACAAGTTACTCAGCCAGCAACACATCGGCCACGGCACCTTCTGCTGTCAAACCTTCGTGTGTTTTTCTTTTTCTCGTTTCTTTTCTCTTTCGCCTGCCTTTCGCCTGTGCAAATGACAGCTGTCAGTGGCATTTCACGTTCAGCCGGCAGGAGTAGCTCCTGTCAGGCTGACGGCCTGCCTGTTGCTTAACGTGGCTTACGCCTGCAGCCTGCCTGCACGTCTGCCGTTTGGATTCTTGCACTTCTCAGCAATCGAACTATGCGGACATCTTGATCAAATCAGCGTGTGACATATATGTATGTATGTGTACACATATACATACATATATATGTATGTGTACACATATACATACATATATATAGTTAGTCATATAGCATCTCTCTATTCATATGCCTATGTGACTTGGTTTTCTTTTCTTCTCTCTTCTATTGGCGCAATGCCATGCAGTTGCAGCTCTAATTTCTGTCCCCACTTTTGTGTGGCGTCGCCCCCCTTTCGGAAACACAATGCCAAGTGCGAATGCAACAAATGTCATTAAAAACGTGACATAAAAAAATATTTTATACTTGCATCTGTGGCAGAACTTAGTTCTCTTCATGTGCATGCATTTACCTCTACCCTGTGGACATGCTGTGGGTGGAATGGGGTGGTTTGATGATGAGAATGGGATTAAAATGGGAAAATGGCATAGCAATATATGTTAACTGAAACTAAGACAAATATGTAGAGTATATTTGTATACTATATAGATATAACTATCCTTAGTTTATAGATATAGCTAGCCTTTAGGTTGAGAGATAAATTAATAGCTTAGATTTTCCTGCTAAACTTACTTTACTACATATGTAGATAAAGTTTTCTTTAACAAGTTTAAAACTAAACTTTATATACTATATAGAGAAAGATCTAATCTTATTATAACATATAGTTACCTTCTGCTATACATACCTTTATGTATCCCTATAAATCTCTTCTTAGAGTTCTTCTCCCTTGACCCCGCTGCTTCTAGGATATTTTACAGTCTTCCATTTGCTTATCTTGAGCATTTCTGTTGTAATGCATTTGGCTTCCTTGAGCAGCAGCTTCGCGAATATATATATACGTATATGTATGTATGAAATAAAAGCGCAAATGGCATTTCGCATGCGTTTTTAAGGTTGAGGTTTTGTTAGCTGAGGTTGAATGACCTAGGACAATAGATTTATGCTTGGGGTAGTTACACAGCTGCCCGCTGCGCTGATTAAGGGCGTTTGCTTCTTAAAGAAGGGTTATTACGACACAAGGCCCCTTTGTGCGTTCGCGCTTCTGTGGCCCATTTCGATTGCCTTCATTGCCAAGTATTGTGCTTCATTAAAGACGACGACGACGACGAAGAATGCGAGGACGACTTGGGCCTGACTGTACCGATAGCCAATGCCGATGCCAATTTCCGAGCAATTTTCAAGCAATTTGACATGCCAACCTGGACGCCCTAATGAGACCCGGTATTACTAGCAGCAAGTCCCTGCTATCATAACGAATTTCCCACGTAACAATGCCCCAAAGTGAAATACCGAGGCCAAATGATTGGCACAAGCCAAAGACGACGTCTGCTCATTGCCAGACGCCATCAACGGGCAGCGAACGTCTTCATCGTCTGTGGGTATTCCCGAATGCAAGAGCGGCACATTAAGTCGACTGGCAAACAGCTGCAATTTGACTTGGCTTCTGCTTGCCGCATGCAGTTGGCTTTTCTGGCTGCATATTAAATATAACACAAAATGCATATTAAATGGCATAAGCCACATGAACAGCCAGCGCAAAGACCCAAGCCGAGACTCAATTCCAGTAGCAGTTTCTGTTTCGGTTTTAGTCAGGTGCTGCTGCTGCTGCTCCTCCTCCTCCTCCTCCTCCTGCTGCTGTTGCTGCAAGGCAAACAAGTAGATATAGCTTCGTATATACCATGCTCTGCGAATGCCAATTCCCAGCAGCTTAGCTGTAAAACCTTTAAGACTTGACGGAAACGCTGCGTGTTGTAAAATTTTATAAGTTTAGCATTTTGGCTGGCGGACTAAAGAGTTCCTTGGAAAGGTTTCGCTGCTTCTTCTTTTCTTTGCTGTAATTGAGCTGCATTAGAATTTAATGGAATATACGTAAAGAGAACTGTAATAATTATATATGTATTTTTAGCTATATTCATTATCTTCAGGAAATTTACATATTTCTCCTTTTCGTACTTTCTTGAGCTATATGAGAATTTGATTAAATATACCAAATATGAGAGCTGTGATTATTCTAGCTTTATATAGGGTTATATACTTTAGCTATATTCAGGAAATTTACATGTGAAAGTTTCTCTTTTTCCTGCTGACATGAGAAATTAATGGAATAGACGAAAGGAGAGCTCTAATATTAATAGCCTTATATATGAATAAATATTTCATTAGCTATATTCATTACCTAATTGAGCTACATGAGAATTTAATGCAATAAAATGGAAACAGAACTGTAATATTTCTAGCCTTATATACATACATATCTATATTTCTTTAGCTATATTCATTATCTTCCACTTCCTGCTTAATCTTCAGCAAATTTACGTACCAGCTTCGCGATTAAACATAAACAACTTTTGCTTACTCCCAGCTGCGAAATTTCTCTGGCTCTTTTATTTGCTGGCTCAACTCCTTTGAAATAAAATCCACACCGTCTAATTAAACAAACTCGAAAAGTCGACGTGTAACCACCATAAATGAACATTAACTTGAAAATCATAAAAAGGAGTAAATGAAAAACTCTCGCCACGGCTTCTTCGTCGTCGTCGTCGTCGTCGTCTTTTATACATAAACAAAACTCAGACTCAAATTTCATAGCATAATAAATGGCGCGCACTACCGATGCAGAAGTTGTGCCCCACAGCCCACCGCCCCCACCTCCTGCACTCTCCAGCTCTCAGCCCGCTCTTGTCCTGGAGTGATGAAGTAATGAAAGTGTGCGCGCGTTGGCGAAAGAAAAATTACAATTCACGAGCGCAGCGCCAGTTATGAACTTTTTGACGTGCTAAATAATGCAGAGAAAAGTGCCCCAGGCTATGGCCAGGGGCCAAGAGCCAAGAGCCAAGGGGTTTTTAGGACTGCGGCAGCGTGTGGCACTTCTTCATTAACTCTGGCGGACGCCTGATGATGATGAATTTCATATAAAATGCTTAAATACCTGCAATTTAACTTTTGTCCATGCAACACCTTCCCTCCCTCTCACTCTCGCTCTCTCTCTCTCTCTCCCTCGACATTGGAAAACATTTCAATATGCAACAGCGCGTGTTTCTTTTAATTTAAATTGACTTCGCTCGGACTCCCAGCGGGCGCTTAAAGCGCTCCGAACTAATCAAAAAGCTATAAAAAAAACTTGTGTTTTCCCGAATACTTGTTTTAGTGGCTGGCAGAGAACAAAACTCCTAGGGGATTTACTATGGTTGCCTGTACTTACTCAACTCGTTATTATTATGGACGGGAATGTGTTTACTGAGCTGAGCTGAAACTTGACTTGAAAACGAACTATTGGACACATTTATTTAGTTACTTTTGATAAGTCTTTCTTTTACTAATGCAAGTTTTTTTTATATTCACAGCTCCGATTAGAGAGGGATTGGCTACCAGTACATCGTTAAAAGAATTAAATATTTTACAGCATTTATTTATATGCTGGAGAATATCAGGAATATCAGACAGAGTAAGTTGTCTGAGTGTCTTTTAAATTATTCTTTCATTTTAAATGGATGTATGTATGTGGATAAAATATAATTAATATTAATATTAACTAATTGTTTGTTTCCCGCAGTTCAAATTATAAAAGGAGTAACTGCAAGCGAATTCTTAAAAGGATTTAATAATCATCTTTTTATATGCTGAATAATATCATGATAATCCAGGTATGTTTTCTGTATGTATTATTGTTTTAAATATTTCAGCTGCATTCCGAATGGACATGCTGATATATCTATATAATATATCTTAATATAAACATATATGTATTTAATAATTAATTATTATATTAATATGTTAATATTTAAGTTTAATCAAGAATTCCATTACGCAGCTCCATTTATCAAAGGAGTAGCCACAAGTGCATCTTTAAAAGGACTAAAAAATGCTTTCGATCATCTATTGATATGCTAAAGAATATAAGGAATCTCTGAGTAAGTTGATAAGAATAGAAATGTACATAAATAATCAAGTTGATCAACTTTTCGTTTACTAATAGACATTCACCTTCACACAGCTTCAATCATAACAGGAATAACTTACAGTGCCTCGTAGAAAGGATTAATAAATGCTTTTCAGCAACTATTTTTATGCTGCAGAATATCAGGAATCTCTGAGTGAGTTGCTCAGGATATATGTAAATACATATATAAATATTTAAATTTGATTGAATTTTCTTATACTAATAAACGTTTCTTCTTCACACAGCTTCAATCATACAAGGGATAACTAACAGTGCATCGCTAAAAGGATTACACAAATTACAGCTGGACATTTATTTATACGCACATCAGGAACCGCTGAGTAAGTTGTCTCAATCTCATATTGCTCTTTGTTAATTACACTCTGTATGCATTCCAAATGGACGTCTATCTATATATGTATATGTATATGAATGCATCTGCTGTAACTGAGAATCAGTGGTTGGCCCTTTGGCAAAAGAAGCTCCGTGCACTTAGCCAGACTGTCATTCCGACTGCATCCACATAATTAATTAACGGCTGACAGCGCTACCAGCCAGATCCCATATCCAAATAAACCCCAACCCAGGCGCCTCATTTCTCGTGTTGCCCTTTAACTAACAGAAATGTCAAAAATGCAAGTGACAAGTGTGAAAAAAGGACGAGCACAAGCAGAAGAAGAAGAAGCAGCAGAACGACACACGGCCAGGCGAGAAAGAAAAACAAAAGCCAAGTCAGGACACACGCTCTCATATGAGAGACAGCTGGGCTTGGATTGCGTTTGGGTTTGGGTTTGTTTGGGTAGCTGGGCTTGCTTTTCCTGCCCGGGAGAGGTTGTCTGTGTGTGTGTGTGTGTGTGGGTGTGCGTTGTCTGCTTGAAGACGTCGCGCATTCGTGCGCAGCAAAATAAATTGAAATTTTAAAATGTATGAAATTAATTTTGGAGTCGCTCCAACGCCTCGTCATGCTGATGATATCACATGATTATTTATCTTTTACGCACACTTAGACAGAACAGTCGACATGCACACATACGCTCATATGCAAACGTGCTGCTTGGTCTGGTCCTCGTCGTCCTGGGCATGACACTTGCCAACACTTTGTCAAGTTTGTAGTATGTTGTCAGCTTTTTTTTGTCTTAGCCCTTTTAAGCCATTTGTCAAACACTTTGCATGACGTCATCTGCAGTCTTGCGACTGTTGCTAAGTGTGTCCTTAACAAGGATATAGATGAGGGTAGGATAAGGGATATGTCATGCGAGTTCATTTGCCGCCTTGGTCAGCCGAAATCCTAGACTTCAATCTCAATTTTAGGCAAAAATCATAGCAACCCACTGTAGAGCTGTTACAGGGTATTAACGATGCGATCTGTTGACAGGCCTCTGCCTTCGACTGTTGGTTTACACTTGTTATCTGGCCCCTAAGTATCTTGCTCTGTGCTGGGCAAAATTTACATATAGATTAGCAAAAGGATAGCAAGGCTCGAGTGGGACGAGAGACACTTGATGGGCCGGCCTGGATGCACTTTGGCAAATGGCTAACCATCATCGAATATGAGAGTCGAGTCGCAATCGAAGTTGGGATGGGTGTGGGTCATGATGTCTGCAATGTGCATAAGTGGAAATCATTAAGTGGCGAGCGCATCTTGTAAACTGATGCGTAATCCTCGACTCAACCTCCTGGTCAATTGTTTTCCATTCGGACAGGCTGGCGCGCATTGTTGCCATATCCGTTTGGCTCTCGGCCAGGTTCTGTTTCCTTCTCTCTCTCTGTCTCTCTCATGTCCATTCTCTTTCTACTTCTGTTGCGTTGGCCTCTTCATTGTGAGCGCGTAAATCCCCTGACAACACTTTGCCTTCCACGTTATACAAAGAAAATTTTTGCAAAAAGCAGTCGAACAATCCTTGAACAATGCATGAAATAATTGCACAGCACTGTGAGAGTGTGTATATGTATGTGTGTGTGTGTGTGTGTGTGTATCTGTTGTGGAAAGTTGTGGTCCTTATAGAGCAAGAGCTGGGCACACAATGAACTTGTTGTTGCTGCTGACTGTTAGCTGATGGGCATTAAAACGCGGATGATGAGGCTTAAGTAGTTACACACAGCGGCACAATTGGGACTCTTTAGGTCTCGAGCCGAGGGGCTCAAGTGCTGCCTGTAGCATATGTGTGGAGTAAGGGATATTATTGCCCTGCTAGAGCCAGAGCAGACCGAGAGCTAACGGTGTAACTGAAGGAAATTTCTTAATAACTGAAATTATAAAGCATGCAACAATATTGCGGAACAATAAATGAAAAGCCCCGATGAGAATAAGCTAATAGACATCTGTCTCAAATTCAAATTGCTAGGCAACCAAATAGATAGAGCAATATGAAATTGCTTCTAGATTGTGTGAATCATTATGGGAAGTTATTGTGGTAGAAGTTTTTGATATAATGATAGACCCAAACTTGATTAACTAAAAAAAAAATCATATAGTCATAGATTGTATGACTATTCCAGAAGCCTGGTATATGAATAATCTCTCTTATATTCGTTTCCTCTCTCAATCCCATTTAATCTTCCGCCCTTAATCTTTACTTCAACATCAACTTTCTTTAAAGCTCTCTTGAAAATTTTTGAAAGTGTCAATGAACAATAAACATTGAGAGCAAAGTTTCCACTTCTCACCTTATCAAGGAAGACCTCGCTCACTCCCACACCTGCGCACGCTGGCAAAGCACATTAAAAGCAACAAATGCAATATGAAACAGACAGAGCAATAACAAAAGCAACACCAGGAGCAGGAGTCGTCGGAGCAGGAGCAGCAGCAGTAGCAGCAGCAGAAGACAGGATCATTAACATAAAATTTTATGTTTATGGCAATGATGAAAAGTCTATACAACGGCTGTCCAAAATAAATAATTACCATTAACAGCAGTCAGCATATGAAAAGAGACAGAGACAGAGAGTAAGAGACAGAGAGTAAGAGAGAGAGGGAGAGAGTGGGGCTTGGTGTAAAGAATCCCTCTAGCAGCAGTTGGCATGGAGTTCATGTCAGCAGCCGCAACATTTTGTGTGACAATCAGGCTCGAGCCACGCCCCCTGATTGGGAGCCGAAAAGTATTGAAGCATTGAAGCTGGCAGCTGTGGGGCAGGCAGTGCCATTGGCATTTATCAAATGCCTGAGCCGCGCTGCTGCGATAGGAGTGCCTGAGTGGGTGGTTGGGTGGATTGTGTGGCTTGGCGTGGGTTGGTGTGGCGCGTGTTGTTTTAAACATTGGCATTCTTGTAATTACGTTTATACTCTTCACTCCGCTGTTAATTCAAATTTACGTTAATGGAAAATCATTACGCACAAATGTGTAAAGTGCACTTTTGCATTTCATTGCCGTCGACTGAGTGTGTGCGTGTGTGTGTGTGTGTTTGTGTGAGTGTGCATCAGCTTTTAATGCAACCTGCCAACTTGGCTGCTGCAAATTTTTAATGAGCTTCAAGTGCAGTTGTGCAGCTGCGGCAGCTGCTTATTGCTGATAAGCATGGCCAGAGCCAAGCTGAGCCAAGTTTTTGGATGCACGATGTCGATGGGATGCAAGTTGAGAGTAGAGCTGGAGTTGTAGGAGTGTAGGTGTAGGGTATTGCATGTATATATACTATATAGGAATGTGTTCTTTAAGTATACAAGAAATTCGTATCAAGTCGAAGAAGTCTATGAACTATTATCAAATGTCTAGATATCTCGGTCTCTTACTAATTTATATACATATGTTAAATAACATACTTTTTTAAAGTTTTTTGAAATCATTTGATAATTCCTAGTTAATTTTAGTTCAAGATTCTTGTTCTGTTATAATTTGTATGATTAAATTGAATGATATCTATTACGTCTATACAATCAACATTTTTGAGAGATTTAAGGCATTTTATCATTTCAATATCTCTTAAATTTCTAGTTGAAACTCAGATCATGTAAGAATATATTGTTGAGGCAAAACTCATGTCTCTTAAGTCCTTTCAGACATCTTTTCATTTATAAAGATTTCTGCTTAAAGCGTCAATCATATTTCTCTAGAAACTCTCATTCAAATTTCTAAAAAATTTCTGGTAAAATTTCTATTTGCATAAAAAATATTAGACGGCATATATATTTATAGACCCTTTCTCTCTTTCTTTCCCTTTATTTTTCCCTCTATCTATGCACACTTTATAAAAATTGACATTTGCCTTAAGTTCTTAAATTCCCTCAACGGCAAGCTAAAACTTTTCCTTAGTTTTTCTGTTGTTGTTGACATTTCACACGCACAATCGTCTGTAATCGATAGCCCGCGACCTTGAAAGCTTCTCATGATGGCCGCATAAAAAGCACGTGCTGTCAACTGTGTCAAATGCTTAGGAGCTTGCCGCCCACGCACAAAGGCAATAGGGAGCGCTCCCTAAACGATTTTCATTGTCAAGGTCGCACGCACAGGATGGGAAGGCAGCGACGCTTACAGCCGGCCGGCGTGTCCTTGAAACCCAATTCAGCACAGCTTTGGAGGAAGCAAATTTGTGTGGGAGTGTGAATGTGTGAGTGTGAGTGTGCGTTTGTGTGTGGCAAATGGCAGCTACTTGGCCTTGGCACCGACATTGAAACATGGAGCGCCCCTAGCAACAAGCGGCAAGAAAAAAAGCTCGGTTGGCATTTTAGATATATACTAACTTTTAGTGCGGCAGCTCTGATTTAGTAGTGAAGTTTGCGTACGTTGATAATGGAGGGCAGCAGAAGTAGCAGATGCAGTTTATGTGTTATAGAATCTAGTTTTAGGTTGGTTCATAGTAATAAAGGTCTGTCAGGCAGAAGGTTGGGATTACAAATTATACAAATTGTTGTTATATTCTTCAGGGAAAATAAATTGTATTAGGTTCTTGCCTATGATCTTTTAAAATGTAAATTTGATTATTTAATATTCTACAAAATTTCCAAATATGTATTACAATATATTTCTGTCAATATCATTAATATGAAAATATGTATTATAATAAAATTATATCCATTTCAAGATTTTATAACGTATTTAATAATACTTTTAGTTTTATTGATATTATATTATACTATATTATATTCTATTTACATTATTTAAATTTAAATTTTATTATTATTTATTATATTTTATAGAATTTTTTAAATTAATGTTTCCTTATTTTTTACAAAGTGTATCAAATCTTCGTCAATATTTTCATCTATTTGCTTGAAATTGTTGCAAGTCGAAATGCCATTTACTTAAGTGTGTGGACTGCAAAAACTAGCAGGAAGTGGTTTATCATAATGGATGAGCTAGCTCTCGCTCTTTCGCTGTGTTGCATAATGGGGGACTTCAAGGTCAGGCAGTTGGGGAATGTTTGCTATTGCTCTGGAGCCGGAACTGTTTGTTTCAAGGCTAAAGTTGGTGCTCCTGTTGGTTGTGCCGGACAAGTTGAAGGTTTGAGAAACAGAATCTTAAATTGGAAATAGAAAACTATTAAGCATCGATAAGAAAAGGGAGATGCGCTTTAATCAAAGTGCTCTAAAGAAAAAAATTCGTTTTAATAAATATATAGGAGATTATAAACAGTAAATTTTAATTTAAATACTGCCAAGGTCATTATTGATTAAACTTTTTATCTGAATTGGTAAAATGAAGTTTCTAAATATTTTTCAATATCCTCCTCCCGCGTCCTCAGCTTGTCGCCTTTAATAATGATATAGATCATTTGTGCATTCGTTTACTCGTTTTATAACAAAAACCTTATACCTATTGTAATCATTACATATAGAGTCTAACAAGGGATGTCAAGTTCACAAAGGTTGATTGTTTGCTTTCCAGCCTTCAAATGAGCAAAATGAATAGAATGAATGAACTGTTAAACGATATGATTAAATATATATAAATGTCTCTAGTTATATACATACATATATAGAAAGTCTAATTATACAATATAATATAATTATAATAACGCCACAAACTAATTGACTCTAAATTTCTCAAACGAGGGGAATTCGCTAGCTAGCACCAAACAATTGTTGATTCCCAGTCGAGCAAAGAGCTCGAACTGAATTCGAAGTTCGAAAAGATTCCCCTCGCAAACAAACCCATAGAGCACGCACTGTATGAAGGAATACCCCTAGTTCGAAAGTTGCATTAGCTACCCTCTCAGTCGCTTGCTTACGTTACTTTACGTCGTAACGTAACGCGCTCTGGTTTTTGTGTGAGCTCGTTCGCTCGTTCATTTGCGCTCTTGCTCTGCCTCTCGCTCTCTCTGTCTTTCTTTCTCAGTGCAGTTAACGCTCTCGCGGAAAGGTAACAAAGCCAAAGCCCAGCCGTGACTGTGACTTTTTTTCTGGGGTGGCAAATGGGAACTGCGCCCGCTGCTTACCGTCCACTGCTTGTGGTGTGAGTGGCTGTGGTTGGTGGTTCAATTGGTTGGTTGTTGGCATAAACAAAGCACACACACTCCATCCACTCCACCACGGCCACTACGAGTGTGTGAATGTCCGTGTATGTGTGTGTGTGTTTGCCAAGGGGGGTGACATTTCGTTGAGCGAGCGCCGTGTTGCTTCCTAGGAAGCACGAACGACGTCGTCGTCGTCGTCGCTGGCAGCGCAGCAATTTGATAAAAGTGACTGCGGCAAGGATATTTACAGTCAGTCCACGCAGAACCTTTGCAAAGGCAGCAACAGACGCTAGAGCAGCTCTATCTCTCTCGCAGGCGGAAATATTATATCACGTAAAAACCCAAATACTGAAAACGCAAAGTTTCCGTTTTGGCGCCAACGAAACACAAGTTCTTGGGCGCATAGAAAAGTGACAAACGCAAGTGACTAAGTGCAATAAGTGACATTTATTGAAAGTAATAAACTACAAGAAAAAAAAAAATTTATACAAAAAGCAATTTGAGCAATGGCAATCGCTTACTTTATACCCGATCAGGCGCAACTGTTGGCCAGAAGCAGGCAACAGCAGGCAAGTGCGCAACAAGCAGGAGGCGGCGTCGGCTCCAGTCCAACGAATACCAGCAGGCAAAACGAGACCCGACAACAGCAGCAACAACAACCACAAAGACAGCAGCAGCAACAACAACAACAACAACAGCGCACCGGCAGCTCACAGTTTCGCGCCAACATTTCAGTGCCACTGGGCCGCGAACAGGGCGCCATGTCCATGTCGGAGTTTGGCTGCTGGGAGCTGTTGGCCCAGATCTTCTGCTACGCCTTGCGGCTGTACAGCTACAATCCAGCACAGCGCCGGCCGACAGTCATACAGATCTCGTTCGAGATTAGCAGCAGCGGCGCAAGCGAGGCGGATGCGGACGGAGAAGCTACCGATGGGGCTGGAGATGTGACAGATGCGAAGCGGGAGTAGATTTGGCCAAGAGACACAAAGACTAAACACAAACTGACTATTATTGTACAGTTAATTTTTTGGTGGCAGCTCAATCAAAGCGCATTGTGATTTTTCTGAGGATGGAGACGAAGGAGTTGGATGGACTTGAGAGGAGTTTTATTTTTGATTTTCTTTTTGTAAAGTTGAAAGTGCTAAATGTAATTTATATTTTTTTAGTATTTAAACGATTTTTAAGAAAATTCAAAATTCGAAAATTGGAAATTTGTCATCAATTTGCTGAAAGTGATATAATATAATATTGGTAGTTTTTGGTGTCCAAATTTTGTTTGGGTAGTGTAGGAGCGAGTGGGTACGAAAGGTTGAGCATTTTGTATGCCTAAGTTTCAAAATGTCGCAAAGGTTTCGGGTTGTAATAGTTGGTTCAAATAGGCGTAGCAGCTGCAAAACATATTCATTTCAATATTTTCATTTAAAGGAACGAATAAAAAATATATATATTATATATGTATATCATTCAACTAATTAGAATCTGTGTCTACAACTAAACAGTCGTCAAAACACTAAGCACACACACACACACATACTAAATACTAAGTATATATACAACTAAATGTCAAATTTTAGCATTTCTACTAGAGTAAAAAAAATATAAATGTATTCCAGCCCCAACCCCCCAACCAAAACTACAAATTATAATACTCTTACCGAACCAACAAATGTAACAAATGAAATACAACAAAGACAACAACTACATTGTACAAAATAGTTTATAAGCAGACAATTTTATATATATACAAAAAATAAACATTTAATGTGTGTCAATAAAAAAAGTATTTAAACAAAAAAACACTACAGTAAAACCGCCGAACCAAAAAGCAAAAATACAAACTAAAATGAATTAAAAGAAATTTAAAATACAAATTTCATATTTTAAGCAGTTTTGATACACTTAAAAAACTAAAAGAAAAAATATATAAATATAAAAAATTTAAGAATATTTTATGATTATTATTGACTTTAGCAAAATTAAAAATATTTTTGTTTCTCTTTCGAGCATTTTGTGTACGCAGCAAAGAAAAAGAAAATTATTATAAATTAATCCAATGCTTACATGAAATATTGCAAGCCAATTACAACATTTTTATAAGACATTTGAAAATAAATACAATTTTATACAAAAACAATATTATCATAAAATGAAACTGTTTTCATAATTTATCTACAAATGATTGGGTTTTGAGATTGAGTATGACAATTAAAGGGAAATTTCATTTATTGATTCATTATTATATATTTTCCCATACAAATTATTATTATTTTTTAACTGAAGACTTTCTTATATTTATTTATATATATGTACATACTTAAAATTTTTATTTTATTTTATTTTTTAGATTATTTTATTTGATTTCAAAAAAATATTTTTGCCCTGCTTAAAAAGTGTCGCATATGCGAAAATAGAAGAAAATAATTGGGAATCTACCGACGGCGTTTCACGATTTGGTTTTTGTGTCTAGTAAATTTATTGGGGGAATATAAAGCTTGTCTTCAAATTTTTATTCAATAAAAAATATATACTTGAATGAAAACATTTTATTTTATTTTTTAACACTTGTGTAATTATTCATTTAATTTTTCTGTTATTTATCTTAGGTAAATATATTTTTATAAGCAAATATTTTTCTATGAATATATTGCATAATATATTTCTTGATTTATATAAACTTAAATATAAATGTTTAAAGGATTCTCTCATTTATTTGTTGGATTCATTTTGAAATTTACATACGCTCTGAATTATCTGAAATAAACCCTAGCAAATGATCGATTTTCAACTTTCACAAATATTCAAGTTCAACAATAATCTGTTTATCTGCAACTATTTCATTTGGCACTTTGTGTAGTCCGACACAGGCTGAGAGTTCATATGCATGTATGTGTAATTTTCTTGTCCCGGTAATAGTTCTTCACCTTCATAATAATCGGCTGGACATAATGAATTCTCATTGTAATACGAAAATGCTTCATTTGTGCCTCCAGGCAGGAATGTGTCCATAATCGTTCCATTTGGGAAGTGATTAAAATAATTTCCCTTGCCGTACGAGTGCTGATAATTGGAGATCAAATCTGTTTGACTTTGCATGGAATTCGTATTTTGATAATAGTCTTCATTTAATTGTTGGGGACTTATATGCCATTGATCTGCATTAATATTCATACTCTGATACCAGTTCTCATATGCCTGCTTCTCCATGTTTGAGGCACCATCTTGACTCTCTTGTGGGTCATAGGCATCCAAACCAGCAGTACCCATGTTAGTATAGTCTCCTATACTACCTAGATTTGAGTACTGATACCCGGCTTGATTCATGTATGATACACCATCTTGACTCTCTTGTGGATCGTATCCATCCATTGCAACAGTATTACGATCCATGTTGGTGTAGTTTACTCCATTTGAGTATTGATACTCGGTTTGATTGGCATCAACTGAGTAATTTTGATTCCCTGCCTCATGGCTGGTTGCTAGACAGTTGTTTTCATTCGATTCACAGCCATATATATTAAGAGCACCACAATTTTCATTGAACGCTTGGGATGGAGCATAGCTACAGTAGCCGAATGCGTCTTCGTAATTCTGTTTCTTACTCGAGTCTGGCGTTGAAACTATAGGAAATGTTAATTAATAAGGGAATGAAATAGAAACTATTCTAAAGTCTTCACTTACACACATTGCCACCAAACTGGGAACCTTCGTTACTATAAAAAGAAGTAAATAAAATATATTAGAATACGATATATGAAATCAAAAATATTATATACCTACCCCTCCACACATATGTCTGCTTGTACAGCCGATGCTGGAAACTGTTCTGTATATTCAGAGGCATTGGTATTATCTTCCACAGCGTCTTGTGTGCTGGAAAACATGGCAGGGCTTAGGTATTCTGTTTTCAAACTAGACTCCATCCCGTGGCTTTTTAGATCATGCTACAAATGGTGAAAGGGCTTAAAAATAGGAAATCTTTTCAGTTAAGAGTTATTTACCCAAGTGTACTTTGACTAAACTTGTTTAAGAGTATTTAAAATACTTTTTGTAGAAAGCTGAATAGAAGTAGAAGAGTTCCATTGGCAGATATTACAATTGAATATTAAGAGTCACGCTTGACTCAGATCTTCGATCTGCCATTACTGACTCGCTCAAACCCTTGCTGATCACCCATTACCTTAAAGAAACCTTTCTCTATTTAATAAAACAAATCTCACCTTTGTTTGCCAGCTGCCACTGTCTGCTATCTGTCTGTCCTGGGCGGGCTGTTAACCCTTTCGCTGGCCGGGCGCAACCCTTTCGCCCACATGCATTTACCGATGCTTATCGCAAAACCAATATGTCACCTTGAAGGGAAAACAGTTTTTGGCATGGCATATTTCTGTGGTGTCATGCCACAAGTTGCGGCAAGGGTTAAATTAAAAGGTTACGCTGCTTAAAAGCCACCGCAGTTCACACTCACTCACACTTGCGCATAAAAATTGTGAAAGGAAAAACAAAGTCAACTGGGGAAATGCTCGAGTCATCGGGCTGTCGCCCCTAGAGCATAATTGTGACCCAAAATGCAACATCTGTGACAAATGATCGACGCTCGCTGATAACTCGGACAGTCGAAAATGTTTGTAGATGTTGATAATTATGCAAACATTTCGGGTCGCTAATTTGCCGCATTATCTTAATTTAAATCGCGCAAAAGCGCATTGAACGTATTTAATTGTCGTGACATGACAACAAGCGACCTGGAAATTAGGGTCCTTCGGCGGCTGACCCGGCCTAGCTGGCTGCCTGACTGGCTCGGCCCATGCCATATTCATAGGGTTAAGTGTTTAGTTTTTTGTTTGGTTTTCGCGTGTGGCTTGATTTTTGGCAACGATAAGCGACTCGGAAATTGTAGGGTATGCAAATGCTAGCACTTTTAGTCGCGTGTCCTGCCCGTGCACAGGGATTGCCTGCCAGCAGAGAGGCCGCCAGGCAGCCAATTATGCTCGGAATTCGAGAGTCAATTAATGATAAAATATTTGCAGTTAATTGAGAAATGCTTAACTTAAATTTCATTTTGTAATTATAAATCAAACAATTAAAGGGAGATGAATGGATGGAAGGAATATGTATGTATTTGTATGTATATAAATTTATTTATTTATAATAAATAATAATTTAAATATTTATTTAAAATAAATAAATCATATTGTCTGTTGTGTTTATATATTTTTTTGTTTATATTAATTTATATATTTTTATTTATATATATTTTAATTTATATACTTTTTATTTATTTATTAATATTTATTTATTTTTTATTTATTTATAAATATATTTATTTATTTTTTATTTGTTCATTAATGTATTTATTTAGTTTTTTTTTATTTATTAAAATATTTGTTTATTTTTTTTATTTATTTAATTAACTATTTATTTTTTCATTTAGTTATTTTTTATTTATTTAGACAAAGAAAAATTTAGCTTTTATTTTCTAAGATTGATAGAGACATATTAATATAATTTATTTCTATTTAAAAAATGAAGTCATCTTCCATATATTGAAGAGATTTGTTCATTTTATCTTGATCAATTGTGTTATTATTAATTATAAATAATATGAATTATTACTTTTTCTAAACGGATATTATGCATTGGCATAAGTCTAAGCTCAAGTATTAAATTGATTGATTTTATAGCAATAAAATCTCTAAAATACCTGCTAGAATGCACCCTTTAAAGAGTGTATTAAATTCGCCTTAGACAAAGCGAATCCATTGCCCCAAGTCTAAGCCAAAACAATAGGTATTATAATAATGGGTTTCTCGTATGGCCAAATGAGTCACTTGACTTGACTGCGGCCAAGTTGAAGCGGAACTTCGCATGCAGTTTGAGGCAAAAGCTAATTACAAGCGGAGGGTCTATTGATTTTTATTTTCTAGATTTTTGTTTTTGTTGTTACTGCTGTTGTCGGGAAAGTACAGTAACCCAGGCACTTGTACGCCCCCGAGCCACAGCAGTGACCCAGTTTCTTGGCTTTAGCAAACAACGCCCCCAACGCAAATTGACGCAAAAACTGAAAGTGGAGCAAAAGTGAAACGCAATATGACCACAAACGAAGTTCTCTATATGGATACGGCACATACGCAAGTCGGAAAAGGCAAATCAAATATCAAAGGCGAAGAAAACTTAGCTGGGCAAATGGAACTGGGAGTTGGGAGCTGGGGATCTCAATAGGTGGAGCCGAGTTAATTGTTTGTGGTGCTTAAAGAGAGGCGGAGAGGGAACGAGAGAGCGATTCAGAGTGAGTGAAGGCTTCTTCAGATAGCTAGATTGACATTTAGTGCTCAAGCCCTATCGCTTCATTAATCTTGTGATTCATTGCCCAGTTTCCAGAGACTAGTTTCCCAGCGCTTAAACGTGTGTCAACACCCACAAACCGCAGGCGGTCCCCAAAGCAAAATCTAAAAAACAAAAACAAAATATGTAATAGAAATAGAGAAAAAAGGAACTTACATATGCGTTTGCCACAAAATGCATTTGTAAAAAGTCTCCAAGTGTTTGGCCAAAGAAAATTAATGATTTATTTACGTCTGGCATTGGGGGCAACACCTTAAATTAGTTGAAAATAAGCCAGGGTATACGGTCAATGGTTTATGAGTGGCCATAAAAGAAGTCATTGGTGGACCGGCCCCGGAATATGATTAATTGCCGCCGCCCCCTCCCCCCTCTCGCTGCAGTTGCACTTTGTATGCTGCTTCCCAAAAATTTGTTGCCACGTTCAACAATTGCGCTTCATTATCGGCGTTTGGCCAGCGACCTAAGCCAAAGCCAGGCCATCGACCATCAACTGCAACGGCAGTCAATTACTGACCAGTTGCCATAGACTCGCCGTCTGTCGTCTGTCCTCTCTGTCTCCATCTCTGCCTCTGCCTCTCTTTTGCCCATTTTCATGAGTTTTCCTCGGGCAGGCAGCTCTCGTTTCATCGGGTGTTGTTGTCAATGTCCTGCTGCGCTATTATTTGTCTTGTGTCAGTGAGCTGGGCTCAGCTCTGGGTTCCGCCTCCTTCTGGCCGTGTATAAATTGCTTTACGGCACTTTTGGGTCATTAACGAAATTGAAAATGCTTGACAAAGAGTTGAGTTGCGTTTGAGTAGATTCCAGTTTGAGTTGCTCTCTCTCTCACTCTCTATTTCGTTCTCTCTCTCTCTATTCAGTTGATTGCGGCTGTTAGCTGCCGGCTTTGGCATTATATCAATGCCGCCTACTTTGGTAGTTGGCTAATCATTAGACACCAACAGAGCTGAGCTGCGTGAGCCGCAATGCCTGATGTTTAATACTACTCTGATTCCCTTCGAGCCCTCATAGAAGATATTTTTAATTAAGAATCTATTATTTTATTGAAATTATTATGATTTATTTATCAAATATACAAATAATAACTGATCTATATATCAACACTAGGATAAATTATGTTATGTTACAGTTGTTTTTTTGTTATTATTACTTTTTGCATTATTTTAATATGGATTATATATTCTTGAGTATTTGTAAAGATGAATTCGATATTAATATTAATATATTTTTATTCATGAATATATTTTATATGTTTTATTTGACAAATGTTTATTTATTATATGTTGCTTCTACTTCTTTTATCAATAATTTGGTATTAATAATATTCTGAAATATTTGTAAAAGTGTAACCTGAACTAATATATTTATTTATCTGTTTTTATTAATATAATTTTTTGGATATGTTTGTAGGAGTTATGAAGGTAGTCTATTTTATTATAATTTTCCTTTTATTCGAATTTTGATAAATATAAATATAAATATATATATAAATATAAATATAAATATAAATATAAATA